TCTGTTGGTGGTTAGAATAGTCTAGTCTCCCACTTCATTAGAGAGCCTGTGGGAGAGGGTTCTTACATGGGCATTGCTAAGCTCAATCAGTGGTCATTTCAGGGCAGATGGCTCCTCGAGGGAAGGGATTGTGTTTACTTTCTTTATTATTTTCCTAGTATGAGGCACTGTGTTTACTCTCTTTATTATTTTCCTAGCATGAGGCCTGGCCCAAGGTGAAACCCTATGAAGAGGGATTAAATTAGTAAATTGTGAAGGGAAAAATCACCTTGTTATCTGTATTAGTCAGTTTTATGGCTTAACAACTGCCAACATCTCAGTGGCTTATAAGACAAAGGTTTGTTTCTCATTCATAGGAGTTTCCTAGGCGGTAGTGGAGGTTCGGTTCTGCTTGCCTTCTTTCTGAGGCCCGCAGACACTGTGTGGGCATGCCCAGTGCTGTGCGGGCCTGGCTCCTACCAGCTCGCAGCTCGAGTTGATGGTGCGCATCTCTTCCCAGCTCCGTGTTCAGTGACATCGTTTGGGCAGCCTAAAACAACTTTGCCTTTACACCGAGGAAATTGGCAAACACTTTACGTCAGAATTTGTTTTTGTTTTCTGAGAACCAGTTTATCAACACACTACCAGCTTCCTGTGACAAAGGAGCTGGCAGAAAATCACAGTGCCTCTTCAGACCAAAGCAAATCACATGACCATGGATGACAATGGGGCAGGGACACCATTTACAGGAGCCCCTGTGAGTCATGTGGCAAAAATGGGGGAGAGGGGACAAAAGGTCGTGAACAATACTATAATCTACCCCGCTCGCTGAATCATTGTAACTGACCAAACCCCAAAGTGGGACATGGGGAATAACAAAGCTTCTGCCTCTGTATCCCCCGAGCCTCTGCCAAATGGCAGGGTGGTGAATGGGATTACATTGGGCACGTATTAAAGGTGCCCACCAGAATTCCTGGTTTAAAGTAAATGGCCAATATATAATAACTATTAGAATTTCTTGCTTTTACTTTTTAATTATCTAATGTCAGTATATAGTAAGACTCAAAAGTCAGTATTTCTTCAAAAAAAAAATTGTTATTCCCCTAGATGGGGTGTGTGTGAGGGGGAGGACTTCCTTCGGATCACATTGCCTGCATTGTGGCTTTGCCCCTGGGTTTTGTGTTGGCCTAGGTCCCTGAGAAGGAGGTGGATGGGTCTGCAGTCCTGAGCAGCGTGCATGTGACAAAGCTTCCCTGGGGAGGCAGCAAGGGGTGCTGTACCTTCAGATCCCAGGCAGCCAGGAAGCTTCCTTTCATTTGCCCCAATTTGTCTCCATCCAGTAGTCCTAATAAATTGGGGCAGGAAGGCGGGGGGTGAGATGACACATGAGTGATGTTCATGGCAGGGAAAGGAAGACCCGGTCGGTCTTCTGTGTGTGCTTGCTTAGCAGCTGGGCTGGGCTGGGTGGATGTTCAGGCAAGAACGGAGTTGGTCAGGATGCGTGGAATTTCCTTACCCGCCAGCTGAGCCTAAATAACAGGCTTTGAGACACCTCCCTGTGCCCTCCCAGGCTGAGCCCCCGCACTCCTGCAATGTTCTGTCCTTTGGGAGGCCAGGGGAGCCAGTCCTGGCAGAGACTGGAGAGGAAGTCAGGAGAGGAGGGAAGCGGGGAGGCAGAGTTCTTTGTTTCTCTCCTCAAGCTCCAGACAACTGGCATCCTTTGGGGAGATCTTGGTTATTCAGAGCAGCTCTGAGCGCTTGACCAGAAATTTGTCAGTGCCTCTTTGGCTACATCATTTTCCCACTCTCATTCACTTTCTGATCATGCCACTTTCTCAGCAAATTTGAAAACAAATACCCAAGAAATCAGAATGTCATTGCCAAGGCATTATAAACAGCTTCTAATGGTGTGTTCCCGTAACGAAAACATACACTAAATATTTGCATCTTGATTGTGCGGGTATACATTTACAGGGCTGCTCTGTGGTCCTGAATACAGAACAGCTCTGTTAGCACGGAGCAGGAATCTAATTGCTTCTGGGAAACAAAATCCATCAATCATAAAGTTCTTTTTTATCAGGTGGAATTTATAAATATGATCAAAAGACTATCCTGTAAAAACAACACACACATAATTCCTTACAATAAGAGCATTTTCCAATGTTTTTCATTGTCTCCTGCTCAATTTCTGCAAGTTAGCAAAGCTTCAGAGAGAGGTTTCTACATCTTTGTCTTATAATTCAGTTGTTTCCCAAATTCCAGAACACTCATTTGCCAGGTAGAAGGCATCCTTAGGCACTTAACACAGACACAAAGAAAGGAAATCTGCAAATAGATTTTGCAGTTCATTTATTGCTTTGCCAGATAAAATCCTGAGAATGGATGAGGGCAGCATTCTTTGTCAACTACAGAATAATTTTGCAGCAGCACTTGGTCAACAATTCTTTAGGGGGAAGGGGAGGTCTGACCTACCTTATACAGACCATTAATTGCAAAGCTGGAATACAAGGAACCAGGCAGCTCCAGTTCTGCATAGCTGAATGAATTTGGCTTCTGTACTCCAACCTCCAAATGTTACTAAGGTGAAGGTCACAGTCAAAACGGGGAGGAAACTGGGGTGGCCCAGCCAGCTTCTGCTCATTCAGAAAAAGAAGGGCTATGAGTTAGTTCAAAAAAACAGTGAAAAACGTCTCCTTCGGAATATGTCTCTCATTTTGTTGCTTGGTCTTCCCAGTGAGACCCTCTTTTCTCCCTTCGTCCCTGGGGCTCTTGGAAAAACTTCTTGAGGAGAAAACTTTACCCCCAATGATAGTGCAGTTGGGGCCTAGCAATAAAGAACTGAGTAGCCCTTTCCGCAAGGGTAGTTTCATTTTATGCTTTTTCTTATTCTGGTATGTTTGTTGGTCTCGCCTCCCAGCGTCTGGGTACATAAATCAAAGCACACGTGAGAAAGTACATTTTTCTACAGGAATCTCCCCTTCAAATGTCCCCAGGCAGTCAGCAGGCACCTGTGAGCAGGAGGGAAGAAGGTAAATAAGAACTGATAACAGTCCATGTTTATTAAGCATGCACCATGCACCTGCGTGGCTGTAGGGACTGTAGATCATGCAATGCCCACAACATCCAAAAGTAACAGTATTCTCCTCGTTTTATGGATGAGGTAAAACGATGGGTAAACATCTGAACAGCCAGTACCTGGCAGCATTTATGAATGCAGAACAGTTCCCTTAACCACTACCCTTAACTAGCAGGAATGTTCACCTTAGTGAATACACTAAACCCTCACAATAATCCTACTGCGAAGTGCCATTATTATTATTACTCCCATTTTGCCCATTGGAATAATTCAGCCACAAGTTAACTTTCTCAGGGTCACTCTTAGGAAGGGACAGGGCCAGAATGTAAACCCTTCCAAAGCCTTTCTTTGTTCTTTCTACACATTGCTTCCAGCACAAAGCACTTGGCATGCATGTTCTCAAAGAGATTTAGCGCCCAATTTGTATTTATTAAGGCAAATATAAGTGAAAAACAGACACGGGACCTAGAGATAGAATTTTAAGAGTCTGTCTCTTCACCGGGGAAAAGGTGGATGGGGCGTTGTGTTGACCAGGAGGGGAGCAGGCTTTCCTTTTCAGAGAGGACATATGGGAAAGGGCGTTTGTCTCTGTAGTTTACAGGAGGGCTGGAAGGACCTGCCCGGGCTGCCCAGTGATGGAATTTTGTAGCAGGTGCAATGGTGATGGTTGCAAGGGATGGGAAACTCCAGCGCACGGACTTAACCTGGAGTGAGTTTTAACAAGAAGCCTCCTGGTAGGAGACCTCGAGCGTTGGCTCAGCTGTTCACAGATGCCATTGGAGCTTGGGCTCTTTCTCTTTCTGCCCCTGCTCCCTTATCAGGCTGGCCCTCTCCTCTTGAGAATCACAAGAAATCTGTCATAAAGTCAGGAACAAAAGGGAAGAAGAATGCACCTGTGACACTGGCACCTGTTTGCAGAAACGCAGAGGCTTCTTCAGACTCTACCTGCCCCCATGGTTTCCTCTTAGGTCTCATCCATCAGCAGTGTGTCCCCAGCAGACAGGGAGGCTGGGAGAGCCAGTGCTTCCCCGGACACGCGCCCCCAGCAGAACTGCTCCCCCACATGGACGGGGTGGGGTGGGATCTCACGGACAGCACGCTGTGGTTTAGGAGGCCAGGGTGGAGAAGAGTTGGCAGCGGGGCTGTACTTGGAGAAGGAGGAAGTTAATGAGGAAAATGTCCTTGTGCCCTTTGAGGTTATCTTTCCATTTAAGTGGCCTCAGGTGCCGAAACCCGTGTGACTTAGTTGATAGAGTGTCTGCCTGCAGACTGAAAGGTCCCAGGTTGATTCTGTCAAGGGCATGTATCTTGGTTGCAGGCACAGTGTAGGAGGCAGCTGATCGGTGTTTCTCTCTCATCGATGTTTCTAGCTCTCTCTCTATCTTTATCCCTCTCCCTTCCTCTCTGTAAAAAATCAATAAAATACATATCTTTTTAAAATAATTGAATAAAATAAATGGCCTCAGAGCATTACACTGAGATCCTTCCTTTCTTCCCTCATCCTGTTCTTGACTCTTCACTCCTTCTGCCCGAACCCCACGCCCATAGGCCTTTGGGCTAAATAATGTTGATCAATATCAGATCATCTGACTCTGCTTTTTTTTTTTCAATTCTTGCAAATAATAGGCATTGAATAATTTATTTCTGAATTAATACTTAATGAGATGAGAACATTTCAGGCAAATATCAGCGGGCCAGGGCCTTGGACTGCATGGCCAGAAGGTCTCACTTCACTAGAAGAGAAGCTCCTCAGAGCCTGTGGAAGGCATCCGGAGGCCCTTGATATCAGAATCCACATGGACCACTGTCGGCTAAGTGGCCTGACTCAGACAAGAGCAATCTGAGGGGGCCGAGGACTCTTGGGTCTCGGGTCAACACAGCTCTGTTTGACCTTGTTGTTACTTCATGTGATTTTAGCTCCATGTCTTCCTTCTTTGTCTTGCAGAGCCAGCTGTCCCAGGCGCTGAACGGGCTGTCGGACCGGGCCAAGGAAGCCAAGGAGTTCCTGGTGCAGCTCCGCAACATGGTCCAGCAGATCCAGGTACCTGAGGCGGCAGCACCCGAGACGGAGAGCAGACCCCGTAGGATAAGATGAAACTATGTGATGGGGGAGATTGTTTCTTCTCTTTTACTTCTTTGTGTTGTGGGGAAAATCCTATTTCTTTTCTTCTGCTCTGTCTCTTCCATTACATACAAATACACATACAGACCGGCTTCTGACATATTCCTTCTTGAGGCGTTACATTTGCCAGTAGCCAGAAAGAACCCGGTTTTCCAAGTAGTTCCTATCCTCCCTCCACACAGAGGTCCTAATTCTCCGCGGCTGTGTATTTAGAAAGAGGTCTACTTCTTTATGAATTTAAAGTCATTGTTGTTGAGTTTGTTAAACTCTATAGGTTCCCTAAGCACCTTGCAATGATTATATCTTCTCTAACGGTAACAACCAAATCGCACTTGCTCTTATTTTCTTCCTTTTTCCCTTCCTTTTCTTCCTCTTGGCTTCTTTTCTGCCCCATAGGATGCTTCTCCTCTACTTAGATACGTGAATGTTTTTCAACCACAGTCTCCTGGTGACTATAATTTCAGATTGCTTTATCTGGACACAGTGATCCACAGATCAGCCAGCATCTGGAAGCTGGTGAATTCTTCCCTAGAGCTAAAGGGGAGATGCCATAAATTGCATGCCATGCTAAATAACGACTTTCTTCACTGTTTACCATTCTTGTGTCTTGAAATTTACCTCAGAGAAGTAACCTGAGCTCTGCCCTCGATTAAATTGTCTTTCTGAACTAATAATTAACCCATGTCAAGGCAGAAATGGCTTTTTAAATGTAAGTCAGCCTTCTTTCTGAATCATATCACACTAATTTCTTTGCCTATTTTTGGCATAGATGCCCATGTTAAAACTTCTGATTCCTTAACAACCTAACAGTTGTACACGTCCTTCTGTTCCCCAAGCGATAGAGCCTCTTCTTTGCTTTTGCTGCCATAAACTATGCAGCCCCAGGCTTGCCTCCGACCCTCACCTCTTCATCAGACAAAGCTTTCCTTCTGGTCCAATCAGAGCCCATCATAGAAAGCTCCCCGCTCCCTCCCAATATTGCCCTGCATGGGTCAGAGAACGCTCTTCAATGATGCTTTCCAGGGGACTCCTCTGAGAACTCAAGGCAAGTGCCACGAAAACCAAAACTTAACATTGCTTATAATTTAGTGAAAGCATCGCTTAAAATGAATGTGTAATGAATTTAAAAAATGTAGATCCAAGATTCAATGTAAGCATCGTGGAGAAGCTTCCATTCATTTAGAATGTAGTTACCTTCCCCCACAAGCTGTTGGTTCCTGTCTGACGTTAGCAGCCTACCCATTTATGTTCACTTTGCCTTCCTTAATGAAAGGAGCCCTTTTGCCCATGATCATTCTTACAAACTTCCGGTGTTGTCTGATTATTGCGTACTATTGATGACCGGTGCCATTCTCTTTCTTATTTTTTCCCCCAAATTCAGTGACTCTTTCATCTCTCCTGCCTTAACAATCCCCACTCCCTCAGGTAGCCAGCCTATCTGAATGTCACCTTCCACCAAACACAGCTGAACATATGCCAGCCGTCAAAAGGATTCATGTGCAACTCTACAAACAAAGCTTGATTTTATTTAATATAATTCAGACTTTGGAGATGACTCCCTTTTGCTAAAAATAAGTTGATTAAGTGATATTCATCCTTTTTTAAATATAAATTTAGGGCAAAACACCGTTTTTTTTTGTTTTTGTTTTTGAGATGGCGAATGTTCATTGTGGACAGAGCTCCTCTTCCTTCCCTTCAGTGGGGATCTCTATCCCACAGTGGACGGGCAAGCTCAGGGGAGCTGAGAGCTGGAGAACAGTGCAGCTAGTGCCAGGTTCCCTGCAGGTCTTCCCTGGCAGCCCAAGGCACCCAGGCAGCAGCATATGGCTGAGAGGTGTGCTCTCTCACACAGGAGAACAGCGTGGAGTTCGAGGCCTGCCTGGTGGCCCAGTGTGATGCCCTTATTGATGCCCTCAACAGGAGGAAAGCCCAGCTGCTTGCACGCGTCAACAAGGAGCACGAACACAAGCTGAAGGTGAGTGCTGGGCCGTGGGGGGACCAGAAAGCCAGGGAGCTGGGCTCCTTGGGCTGTGACAGACAGGCTAGGTGGGAGGGGGAAGCAGGATGCTCACAGCCTTGGGAGGGCAGGGAGTGGCCTGGCTGGCAAAGAGTGGGCATAGCCCTTTATTCACCACTCACTTCTTCATTTTACTCAGCAGGATTTGTTGAGTGACTCCTCTGGGTCAGAAGTTGCTTTGGGTACAGGCCTAATAAAATAAATAAAGATCCCTGCCCCCATTCTAGAGGTGAGAAGCCATGGCTCCACGATATTAGGAACTGGTCCAAGGACCCAGGATTTCAGTGCTGGTAACCTGGCTTCGGAGCTGAGAATCTGCCCTGCCTCTGGCTGGTAGAAATACAATGCACAGAGAAGATTTGTCCCCAACCCCACCCTCTCATCAGTCCCCCAGCACCTACTGCACACCTGCTAGGAGCTGAGTGCTGGGCGGCAGGAGTGGGGGGAGAAGGTGGCTCAGGATGAGATGCGCCTTTCCAGAGCCTACATTTCAGAGGATGAGATAAATCATACCCACAGAAGACTTCAACACAGGTAGAGAGTGAGCTTTCCGAGGGGTGGGGGCCAGTGCCATGGAGGAGGGTAAAATTACTTGCAGTTGAAAGGATCACAGAGGGAATCATGGGAGAGCTGGCCCTGGAGTTGCCCAAACTTTGGGAGGTGTGGCAGCTTATGTTCTTGCCTGTGGGATTCGGCAGAGCTTGGCGAGAGGAAGATGGTGGTCAGCACACTGCACCCTGGCCTTGCTCTATCCAGGTAGTCATGGGGACGGATGCACGCGTTCGGTTTCTGTTGCTGCTCTGACATTATTAACAGATCGCCACTCTAGCCCTTCATTTTCACATGCTTCAGAAATCCAGATCTCTTTATATCTTTTGAATCAACCCCATAGCATGAGCTAACATAAAAACACAGTTATCTTCAGGAAATGAGCTGTACAGCTGGGGTTTTCCCTAAATAATGGGCCAATGGTTTTAGTATCTAGCCATAACATTGTAATGTTTTCTCAATGGAAATGCCTTTTCTGAAATATTGTAGACACTTTCCTGGCATTATAAGACAGAACAGTTTGTAATCAATTATATGGATGGTGATTATCTTGGCAACTTCAAGTTTCCTATTGGGGACTATGTAAGGGCAGGAATCTGGGTGGAAGAGGAAATCAGAGATTAAGAAAGCGTCATTTATTTATATCAAATGGTGTCATGAAGCTCCCCAGTCTCCCCCCCTCCCCCCCTTAGTGCTGCCTCTGCAGATGGTACTGGATGGAAATGCATTATAAGCTGTGCTGTGGGTGCAGATGGGGACCACACAGGAGCAGTTTTAACGCATCACTGGGACTCTGCCCCATAGGGTGCACTAAAGCTCCTGGAGGCTGCTGAGCAGAGGGGCCTGCCCTCAGTTCACTCTGCCCAGGGCGGAGTTCCCTGCCCCAAATCCCAAAGGGCTACGGAAACCAGAGACAGGTGGCTGGGTGTCCCCCTCGTCAGCAAAGCTGTTCTGTCTTCTGTCTCGAGTGATTTGTTTCTCTGCTGTTTCAGCTGATTGTATCTGTCACTGCTTCTAAAAACAGCCAGCAATGCCAACACCGTGACTACCGATGCCAGCCTCCCTGTCTCTCTCTCTGTTTTTGTCCTCCTGCCTTTTCCCTTTCTTGACGCTTCTGTTGCTACTGGCATTTGTGAGAAAAGACTGGCCTTTTAGGGACATCCCTTGCCAAGCACAGTTCTTTCTATCTTTGTTGGCTAACCCATCCCTCACAGTCTGGCAGGGATCATCTTTTGGTCTTCCGCTTCCTTTGGTCGAGTTCTCTGGGAAAGCTTTTTGCTGACAAAGAGGAGAGTTGTGTGTGTGTGTGTGTGTGTGTGTGTGTGTGTGTGTGTTCTGGCAACTTTCTCTTCCTGAGCAATCCAAAAGGCTCGGGGTGCTGGAAAGTGAGTGTGTACAAAGACAGCCTTTACAGTCTGCTCAGGCCCTCTCTGAGAGCACTGACGGCTGGAGCTCATTGAGCAGTTTTGTTCAGAGGCAAGATGGAGCTGAGTGGTGAAGAGCTCAGTCTCCATGTCAGAGAGAATGGGATTTGAGGACACCCTTTATCATTTACTGGGTCTCTAACTGTGAGCAAGTGTTAAGCCTCCATTTCTCCTTCCCTTCCAAGTACTAACCAGGCCCGACCCTGCTTAGCTTCCGAGATCAGCCAAGATCGGGCGCGTTCAGGGTGGTATGGCCGTAGACAAGCCTCCAGTTCTCTTTCCTGTGTGTGAGATAAGTAGTCATCACTTCATCTGACATTGGAAAACATTGTACCCAAAAATATTCACTGTTATTATTGATGTTATGAAGAAGAAAGAATGACTGGAAATCTGGTTTCACTCAGCACACTGAAGAAAGATTCCTATAGGCTTACTCTTCATAAACCATATATATATATATATATAAGCCTAAGCGACTGTTATGACCTGTTGACTGAATAACTGGTCAACTGACACGCACTGACCACCAGGGTGCAGACACTCAACGCAGGAGCCCCCTGGTGGTCAGTGCACTCCCACAGACAACTTTCTGCGGCTGGCCCCAATTAGCCCCCATTGTAGGCCAGACTAAAGAACCTCACCCATGCTCAAGTCCCTGCACTGGGCTTCTCGTATTTTATAATGTATAATTAGCCTACACATGGGTATCACTGTCTCTGAACCTCAGACATTTAGTGGGCTGAATTTATAATTGATCATCCTACAAAATAGTTCACAAAGTTGGGTGAGCTGTTTTTAAAGCTTTTTTAAAAGAGGCTTTGAGACATATGCAGATGTGGCCATATTTTAGGAAAACTTTGAAATGTAAATTACAGTTGATACTATTTTGTGGTTTGAAAAAAGCACTGGGAGCCAAATATCTGTTTTCAATATGTGGTGAACTAAAGCAAATGTCAGGAAGCTACTGGAGAGAAGAAAAGCTTTTGAGCTTTCAAGAAACATTACCAGGTCATATTTGGGACTCCTGGGTAATATCCTCATGGCGAATGGATAGGCTGGACCCCAGGTTCCCTGTCCTGTCTGCATGTTTGTTAACATCCTTCCCAGGTCTGCCCTCACTGAGCAAGGCCTTGAGTATTGTCCTCTCTGTGCGATCCTCACAAGGAATTTGTGACAACTTACAGTAAAACGTCTCATTAATGAGACCTATGCTTTTCTCAGGAACTTTACAAATGCTATTTTTCATTTGCTAAACCCAAGGACATATCTGATGATTATTATTGTTATTTATGTATCGATAATATTCAGAATTTGAAATAATTATCTTAAGTGTATTCTATCTCCAGTATTTTTAATGAATTCATATGTTGAATAGTGTGTGATAGGTGTTTTAGTTACCTTTCAACCCCAAGATCCTCTAGAAAAATAAAGTTATAGTTATTCAAAAATATTCTGGAAAAGTATAATCTTTAATTTCCATATGTGATTGGTAAACTAACATACCAACTAAATTACTCAGTGAGAATGCCAAGGGATATTGATAAATCTTACTGTTTTATGGAGCTTTTCATATTTATAAAGGGTCTCCATATCCCAATTGTAATTATCTATAGAATGCTTAATTTTGTTTTGTTTTTGTTTTGTTTTTGTTTTGTTTTTTAAATATATTTTATTGATTTTTTACAGAGAGGAAGGGAGAGAGATAGAGAGCTAGAAACGTCAATGAGAGAGAAACATCGACCAGCTGCCTCTTGCACACCCCCTACTGGGAATGTGCCCGAAACCAATGTACATGCCTTTGACCAGAATCAAACCTGGGACCTTTCAGTCTGCAGACCGACGCTCTACCGTTGAGCCAAACCGGTTTTGGCAGAATGCTTAATTTTGAATCCTACTACATTGTTGGATTTTATTAGAATCATTATTATTATTACATCATTATCTTTGTTATTATTTACTATGTACTTTGTTATTATTTACTATGTATGATCCCATTATGTTTGTTAAAAACTAATTATATGGCCATATCACTGAGTACAAATTTACACTAATTATATTATTGGCTTGTCAAACTGCTTATCTAAGCTATTTTACCATTGATTCATAATAGGCAAGAGAGAGAGAGATTGGGGAGGGAAGGAAGAAGGGAAGAAAGAAGAAAGAGGAAAAAAGAGGGAAGAAGGAATATCTGCTCAAGTTCACAAAGAATCTTAAAATAATTATATAGCGTTTGACTGGCTACAGCCATTGCTAGAAAGAAAACACAACAAATTTAAGTCAATAATTAGCTCAATCCCAATAAAACTACTACTGGCTAGAAGTTCAGTTAATCTATTACAATGAAGACATTTGGAAAAATTAGGTAACACGGTAACAACTTTTAACCTTCAGCAGCTCTCATCAGAACTCATTAGGGGCCCAACTCTAAGAATTAAGCCACAATTATTATTGATTGTAAGCTTGTTATTTATGGGCAATTCCTTTCGGTTTCATTTGGCAAATTCTGTGGTCCTCTGCCACCCACCATGTAGGAGCAAAAATCACAGAAGGTCTGTCTGGTGGCATGGGAGATAACATTGAACTCTAGGAAAATACCAGGAGGAGTCTTTATTGTATTGGATGAATCTAATGGCCAAGGTGCGTCACCTGTAACTCACACATGAGTCAGTTCCAAGCATTAATAGGTTATCTTGCTTTAAGACAGTGTTTCCCAACCTTCTCTCATGATGAGAATCACCTGGTGGAGTTGTTAAAACACAGATTCCTGAATCCCAACTAAGAGGTGCTAAACTAGAATTTTTGGGAACATATAGGTAAAATTGCATACCTAACTATTCTCATCATGAGAGAAGGTTGGGAAACACTGCTTTAAGACATGATGGAACTCATAGAAACTCCCCCACTGACCAAAATGACCTGTGAAGAATAAATTTAAGCATGCATCTTTAAAGTATTTGTACTTCAAATAGAAAAAAAAAAGATTACCTCATAATTACGGGAATTTGTTTAAAACTGTGATGGGATAGTATATATTATATTTTAAAAGAATTTCTTGAACTAGGAGAAATAAAATGTTAATATTTACTTAGACTAAAAATTCATTAGTGACATTCCTCCAGATGCTATGATGAGCACACTATGAGAAAAAAGTAATTATTAAACAGAAAAAATAAAGAGAGGTGAGATGATTTGATTTTTTCCCTATCTCCTTTTCAATTGTTTTAGAAAGTATATCTAATAACCTTTAAAGTAATTTATGACAAATGGAAAGACATTAAATAATTGTTATTTAAACTCCTTTTAGTTATTATCTATAAAACCTGGAGTGCTGGCTGTTTTTGAGGCTTTTGCAAGGTAGAATGAATATCCGCATGTGAGTGAGTGCGATTCCTAGGAAAGCCTTGTTCAACTCCAAGCTTCAGAAACGACCTCAGGATTTGGGCCACTGAGCAGAGGACACACAGGATGACCATCTCTGAAGAAAGAAACTTTTCTGGGGCTGTCCTCTGTTTGACACCGGGCAGAGACAACTTCCCAGAGGCAGAAGCTGCCTTTCTAGGTTAAAGCTGACGCACAGCTTGGCAAATAGGACAACAGCCTTTAAAACTGCTTTCCAAAAGGAGCAGATTCTAAATGGGTTATTCTTAAAACTCAATTCCGCAGCCATCTCTCTCCGGCTTCCTGGTCATCAGTTCATGGTCTTTTGGCAAGTCCCACCTCCACCCCCACCTGAAGAGTCAGGCTGAGAAAGGAACTGGGTTCAGATGGTGATGTCTGCTGTTTAGAAGGACCAGCCGTGGTGGGAGAAGGTGGGGGGACTGTGATCCAGAGCGGGAGCCGCAGCTGAACCTCAGGTGGCTCAGCTCCTTCACAAACTCTCCATGACCCCCCACTTCCAGCCGCTCAGGGTCATCTGCTTCCCAGAAGAGGAGAGGAAGGGGGACCGGTGGACGATGTCCTCTGAGGGACCAAGCTAGCCAGGTCCTCATGATTTCAGTCTGCAGGCCTGTCTGGAGGGTCCTGTTGTCACAAGTTCCTGTAAGAGCCATTACCCACGCAGTCCCCTGGGGTCGTTGTCCACAGCAGGCACTGCCACAACATAGTCTCATCCGTTTAGTTTTGCTCCAGGATGCTCTTGGATTCTGGTTTGAGGCAGCTTTCCACCTTCTCAGTTTGATGCCTTTCTACTCTCTGGCATTTTTTGGACCACTCTGTTCTGTCGTCGATCCTAGGTGGTTCGAGATCAGATCTCTCACTGCACGGTGAAACTGCGCCAGACCACAGGCCTCATGGAGTACTGCCTGGAGGTGATAAAGGAGAATGACCCGAGTGGCTTTTTGCAGGTAAGCATCAGTTCGTTTCTGCCTCAGAGTCTCAGTGTCCCATGAGACTGACTCTACCAAGGCCAGATTCCCACCGGTTCTAAGTATGAAAGCTGTCCATCTTCTTGACACCTCCTACTTGTCAATATGTCGGTGATTTCCCCGCCTCCCACAAAAAAAAAAAAAAAAAAAAAAAGTGAAGTTTTTCAATTTCTTGGATGTCTCATGATTTCTTCAGAATTCGTTGTTTTAGTGAGATGCTATGAATGTCAGTTGAATTTTATTTAACTTTCAAATCCCAATGAGTAAGGGACCTTTCATTAAGGAATACTTAGATCACTTGCAAGTCACTTTCTGCCAAACTGGCCGAGAATGACAGAGATTAAATATAAGAAATAAAAGAGCTCTTTGCCAAAGAGTTTATAGATTATCGTAGGCAGCCTCTCTTAACTACTTGTAAAGCTCATTTCCAAGTCTTGACAGGATACCCACACCTCAGGTGAGAATCAGGGTTTGTTGGGTCTAGTAGGATTCATCAGTCACCAGCATATCTTTATTTAGTGTTGCTGGCTTTAAGCTGATCGGTCACACATAGCATGATCATCCATCCAGATTTGTCTGTTAGACCCATTAACGGCTGCTGATTTTTATATCTCGACTCACAAAAGCGTCGAGATTTGCATGATAACTCACAGGTCACCCTCAGCCTAACCGGCTCCTCGCTGCCTGCACAGAGTCAGGAGGGTGTGAGTCCCAAGGAAGTGGCTGGTGACACGCGGGGCGGGTTGCGGGCAGTGTTCTCTGGCCACGGTGGCGGTGTACTTCTTAGGCTGTGGTCTTTGATGTGACTAGATTTCTGACGCCCTCATAAGGAGAGTGCACCTGACTGAGGACCAGTGGGGGAAAGGCACGCTCACTCCCAGGATGACCACAGACTTCGACCTGAGTCTGGACAACAGCCCTCTGCTGCAGTCCATTCACCAGCTGGACTTCGTGCAGATGAAAGGTGGGTGCCTGCGTCCTCCCAGTCGTAGAGACTGGTGCTCGAAGCAGGGTCAAGGCAAACGAAAGGCAGCTGCCGGGTTTATAAATCACCTGAGAGGCGGGAAGGTAAACACACATGCCTATGGTTAATGTTACAAAACCTTGAAGGGCTCCTTTCTTATGGTGTAATGGACATGTTGTTTGTAAGCTGTGTAACCTACCTCTCAGAACAAACTCAATGCTTGCCAGTTTGAGAATCTTCGGGATTTCAGAGGCTCAGCATCAGAATAGCTGGCAAACAAAAAAAACAAAACAAAAACAAAAAAATTGGGGTGGGGGGAGGAGAAAGAGGGAGGGAAAGAGAGAGAGCACATCTCAGTACATAAATGTTATCTTATTGCAAAAAGTAACCCAGAAATATTGACAAAACTCAAGAGAGTTCAGAATTGCAATGACTGCTTCCACATGGTTAAATAGTGAGCAAATGATTGGACATGGATTAGTGGAAAGTTGAGAGGATCAGGGCCCTGCCAGTACTGGTCAGAAAAATTGAGTCTGGATAGAGAAAGAAAATGAAAATTTGAAATAAATGTTAATGTTTTTATTTATGTGATTAAATGCTATGGCCAGATCTCTGAGATTTAGGTGTGCCCAAGGGAAAGGAAAAATACTTAAAATTATCGTAAGAAAATTAACTCTTTCAAATAAAAATAAAAACTCAAACCAATCATGCAATGATATTTTAATGGCAGAGTAAGTAATATCCATTTGAAAAATATTAACTATCAAATAACAGTAAAATCAGGAAATGGACATTGGCACGCTGTGTGTGTCTGGTCCTATGCCATTTTGTCAGGTGTGTAGCCATCACTGCAAGGGAGGTATTGCATCACCACAGAGATCTCCCTCGGGCCTCCCTTATAGTCAGTCACCCCCTCCCTCCACATCCCCAACCCCTGGCAGCCATGATCTGTTCTCCATGATTCATCACTCTCTGATGTTTCCGCAAGAAATTGATTTGCTCTTTGCTTCTCTCAATTTAAGCATCCACATAATAAATGATTTAAAAGACACTGACTTTAACAAAAATCTACATGCTTCCTTTATCAGACAGACAGAACCATATAACTCTGCAAGGTGTAGGCCATGTACTGCTGGCTCATATCACGCAGTGAAACTTAGCTTCTTAATGGGTCTTTACCCTCTTTTAGTTTTCAGTTTTCTCATTTTGTTGCCCAATATGTATTGCTACGGGACAATGCCCTCATTCATATTGAAGTAGAGTACAGATTGCAAACAAAAATGCTTTGCTGCAGTGACAAGAATGTTTAGCATTTATAGACTGCTTCCCAAACCACTCTTCTAAGTGCTTTCCATGGATTAACTCCTTTATTCTCACGGTGCTACTAGGCAGCTGAGGAAACCGAGTTACTTGTGGAGATTCACACAGCTAGTGAGTGCCAGGCCCAGGTTTCAAGCCAGGGAGCCTGGCTCCGGAATCCACACCTTCAGCTTCCAGTGTGCACTGTAAAGCTAGTGCCTTACTAAGCAGCTTCTTCGAGGAATAACTAACTTCCTCTCTGAAACTTAAGAAACTTAGTTTTGTTGCAGCAACTTTTTCTTGCTGTTTAAATATTCTTCTCTTCCCTGGCTGATGTGGCTTAGTTGGGTGACCTCTCAGTGCATTGTCCCATGCACTGAGAGGTCACCAGTTTGAATCCTGATCAGGACACATGTCTGGGTTGCCACCTAGATCTCCAATGGGGGTGTGTCGGAGGCAGATATTTCCCTCTCTCCCTCTCTCTTCCTGTCTCTCTAAATATAAATAAAAACGTATTTAAAAATAAATAAATATGCCCTAGCCAGTTTGGCTTAATGGATAGAGTATCAGCCTGTGGACTGAAGAGTCCTGGGTTCAATTCTAGTCAAGGGCACATGCCCAGGTTGCAGGCTCCATCCCCAGTAGGGCATGCAAGAGGCCACCAGTCAATAATCCTCTCTCTCATCATTGACGTTTCTATCTCTTCCTCTCCCTTCCTCTCTGAAATCAATAAAAAAAAAAATTTTTAAATAGATAAAAATATTTTTTTTCCTTTAAGATCTATGCAGTGGCCTGTGAAATACAGCCATCTGAGTAGTGGTTAGAGTCCCAGGTAATCCCCATCCATCAGCATCTCTGTACCCAATTCTTTCAAGGAGGTAAAATCGTTCAAGGTTTATGTCACAGCTCAAAAGAGAAAATAGGTCACAAAAGGACAATGTAAGGGCTTCTGGTGGGAGAGAAAAAAGTGAGCCAACCCAGTTCGCCTTGGTGATGGGCAGGAGAGGAGGGACAGGTGGAGGGTAAGAGCCTCCGGACTCTGAAGAGCTTCCATCTGCTGGCAGAGCCACTCCTCCGCCATTCGCTGTCACTCTGAGTCATGTCCTTCTGCCCACCATGGAGTCCAGCCACTTGGTAGGATGGTAACCGTTGTGTTGGAGTGAACAGGCCCTTCATCTGGTCTGGGAACTTCAGGTTTATGGGCTAGGCCTCACAGATCACGTTATTAAAGCATCGTCCCTCGGCTGTTCCGACTGCGCCAGAGAGAAGCATGGCCCAGCTGTGAGTACAGCCCATGATTCTGTGCACACAGCGGGGTGCCAGGCACTTAAAGGCCAAACGCACACACACCCGCCGAAGTTCGCCCGGGACACGAAATTATGCAGAACAGTCGTGTATGAAGGTGAAATAATAGGTCATTGGGTGGGAGGCTGGATTATTCCCTTTTCCTTTTCTTTTTGACACTTCATCTTAATTTAATTTACTTCTGATTGGTGTCCCTCTGCAGAGCTCATTATATGCTTTGTTTTGTGCTCCTGAAGTTTGATTCAGTGAGAGCCATTCCTCTTTAGAACCTGAATAATTTGTATCCATCAGATGCTTGCGACGGAAGGAAAAAGCCAAAGCTCATGATGCCCTGGAACTTGATTGGCTGTTGTGAAGACTGGCTTATTTGATATCTGTTAACATCTCCACGTCTGTATCAGTGTAGCTTTAGATTTTATTTTTTAGTGTATTTGCAGTCATTTAACTGCATTTTCATAGCTTATCAGTAAAAAAAAAAAAAGAAAAAAAATCTCAAGAAACTGCACCTCAAAATCCATGTGTAAATGACCAAAATTTAAATAACATTTTAAGGAATCTGACCATTTTTAAACTAACAATATGTGCAAGAGAGTGTTTTTTAATGGTTCCAATTGTCTTCTAACTGTGGATTATAGTAGAAAATTAAAATATTTTCCAAATTACTTAAAATATACATTTAAAGTTATGACTCAAACTATCAGCTAAAATTTCTGTTTACTTTTTCTTTTGTTTTTCTTTTTTTTTCTTCTTCTTCTTCTTGAGTAAAAATTTTAGCATTTCTCTGGTTTTGGCTTTTCATCTCAGATGCCTTTTTTTGTTCTTGATATGAAAGAAGATAGTTCTGTTGTTGGTTTTTACATGTTTCCATTTAGCCCAGCTACTATTCAGCAAGAATGTACTGCCTAAAATTATTCTATTAACTAAGGATTTAACTAATCTTCTCTTTCTGATTTCATATCACCCCCAAGCAATTGAGATCTAAGTGGAGATTGCTGGTACCTGCTTTGTTCAAACATCCCTAGATTTTAATGACATGTTCTCTGGTTGCATTTTGATTAAAAAATTATCTTAGCCTCTTTCTATACTATTGGGAGTGGTGTTTGATCTCAGACTTTTCTTTTATAAAAAATAATAGATTAAGCTTTGTTTTCTGTTTTTATTCGTTTTTGTGTGTGTGGTTGGTTTTTGGGGGGTATTTAAGAGAGTTGTTTGGTTGTTTAGTTTTTCCTTAATTCTAAGTTGGTATTGTCAACTTTTCCCAGGTCACAGAAAGGAAATTTTAAGATTATTTTCCTAATCTATTAAGGGCTTTGCTGCTTGGCTCAGAATAGATTTCAGATACCACGCCCTCCCAGAAAAATATTACCCTAGAATTATCTAAGTGTACAGAGTATCTCAAGATTCACTAGTCTGGGTGGTGAAATGTGTTCATTCTGAACCAGATTAAAGTAATTTAACACTCCCTCTCACCTTTTTAGCACATATACCAACAGCTGCTAATCCCCTAACTGCCTCTACTCACCTAAGACACATTTGACTTTATAAACTCATATTGAATGTAAGAGCTCTGAGTAGGCACCAAGGTCATGGGCAAAGACAGTGTGACCTTAACAGACCCTCCTATAAATCATGGAGAAAGTGCACCCAGAGGTTTGGCAGTGGAGATGAGCACACACAATTACTTGCATGTAATCTATTCATGCATGTAATCTGTTCCTGGCTTGGGGGCCTAAAAGGCATGTCCTCAAGACCTGTGTTCATGTGTAGCCTTAACAGTGTAGTAGTGATGGCTTGCCAGAAAAAGCTTATTATTCCTCTATAATAGGGGTGTCGAACTCAATCAGAGAAGGGGCCAAAATCTAAAATCCAGCCTAAATCGCGGGCCGAATGGTTTACTGAACAGTCATAAACTGTCATTGTGATGGAAACGCAGTGGAGTGCAGTGATGACAGCGCGGTGCGGGCCACATTGCAAGGCCTGGCGGGACGGATTTGGCCCGCGGGCCTTGTGTTTGACGCATGTGCTCTATAATCTAAACTTGCCCTCAGATGCCATTTGTATTGTTCAGCCCCCATAAAAAGAAATGGGTTCACAAAGGAACCTTCAGACAAGGTGACTCGGCAAAATTGCATTTCCAACCACCATGGGTTGCGCGGTGAAACATTGCATTAATCCATGCCATCGGGTCTTGGGAGGCTTTATCGTCCCCATATAGAAACCAAAAAGAAACTTCCCCTTGGAATTGGGTGTGGGGGCTTCCCTCTGGTGCACTGTTACTAACCAGCCAACTAGAGAGACAGTAGAATGCAACGTAAGCTTGGCTCTAAATCCCAGCCCTGCCACTTACAGCCATGAAGCCTTTCTGTTTCAGTTTCCTCCTCTACAAAGCTGAGATAATAACAGTGCCAGTTACTGTGGGGTTGTTGTGGAAACTCAATGAGTGAATACACGTAAAACGTCACCACACCATCCTGCATTCAGTATGTGCTCAAGGCCACCACCTATCCTTACGTTTCATGTCGATCCTGGGAGGCCCACTTCCATTCTGCACATGTCCTCATACTCCTGCTGCCTTCACAGAGGAATTCTGAGTGGCTGTGACTGTTCACTCTCTGAAGGATTAGGGGGGAAATATTACATGAATATGAAAAATGTGAGATAAGAATTTGAATGAAATGGACTTAAAAAGTTAAAACACTTGAAAATTTTGGTATAAGAAGACACCGTTGCAAAATTTAATTTCGAGCCATAGATCCACCAGGCCCCTTCAAGGACGTTAGTAAGAACAGCTGCCCCTTTCTCTCTAAGGGGAGGCTTTTAGCCTGAAGCTGGATTTTATGGGCTCAAAGAATGCTAAGTTCTAGAATTCTGATCAGAGAGGAGAAATTAGTTCTTTAGAAAAAAAAAAAAAAAAAAGGTTGTCTGGGAATGATCACAAAAGTGTCAAGATTAAGATAGCTATGGTAGCTTCAGTGACAGGAGTTTCAATAAAATAAAACCTTTTTTCTTGTAGTTCAGCACAGGAAGTGTGATGCTATCCATTGTCAAACCACAAAAGGTAAATTAATTTGGAAATACTTTGGATTCTTGTAGACTATTTATTTTATACCCAATATTAAAGTTAAACGGGGTAATATAACACCCACTGTCAAATGCTTTTCTGAAAATGTCAGCCTTAATGTTGTCACATTTGCCTTTTATTTGCAACTTCACTTTGGGGTAAATAATGAAAAAGAAAAAATAATTCTGCCGAAACCGGTTTGGCTCAGTGGATAGAGCATCGGCCTGTGGACCAAAAGGTCCCGGGTTCGATTCCGGTCAAGGACATGTACCTTGGTTGTGGGCACATCCCCAGTAGGGGGTGTGCAAGAGGCAGCTAATCAATGATTCTCTCTCATCGATGTTTCTAACTCTCTATCCCTCTCTCTTCCTCTCTGTGAAAATTCAATAAAATATATTAAAAAAAAAAAAAGAAAGAAAGAAAGAAAGAAAAGAAAAAAATAATTCTGAGCACATTGAGAAATAGATTTAGATATACAAATGTTTCTTGGATTCTTCATTTAGTCTTTCTTTCTCTAGTTAGTCTCTCTCTCTCTCTCCCTCTCTCTCTCTCTCTCTTGTTTGCTTATTTGCTTAAACCTGGGACAATGTTAAGATCTGAAAACTAGTGAGCTGTTAGATTTTTTTTTCTACTCTTTTGGTCTTTTAAAGTGTACCCACTGAGGACTTATAAATGATGTTCACATGCTTTAATTATACATGACACTGTGTATTTCAATTAGCATTTTACTATACCTATGTGCATATAGAAAATTTGAGTTTCTTATCAGTCATCACAAGCATTTGTATATTCAGGTTGAAACCATCTTATTGGTTTCTTATTGTGATCTTATTCTTTGATTTTAAAATCGATGACATGTAGACTTTCTTGAAACATGAACAAAGGTAAAATGAGACTGCTATAGGGGGCTAATGAAATAAAGAGAGTCCTTTAGGAATTGTTGATTTATGGATGTTCTAAGCAATATGGCCAGTTGAGATCAAATATCCCCAAGAAGAATCATTTCTTGTCTTTAGAAGCCCTTTGAAGAATGGTTAGCTTGAACGTATTATATCTTACTCCTCAGTTAATATACTAAAGTATATTTCTTTTACATGGAAAATATTTAAATGACAAAGTAAGTTCCTAATGTGTATAATAACCTAAAGTTAACCCTCTAATCACAACTCATAGGTGATGCCTGTTTGTGTGTAGCTGGTCATTAGAATCGTTAGAGGGCGTTATGTCTTTTCTCTCTTCCTTCCTCCATCCAGTCCCGTAGTCTTTCTATTGAACAGGTGATGAATGTATCTCCTTTCTTCATGGCCAGATGTTCTGGGATTTCTGGGGCTCCGGATGCCATTGTTCTCTGATGAGTTCCACCTGCACTCTGTGCCATTGGCACTTGAAACATGATGTCCCTTCCTAAACTGATCACCTCCAATTAACCATAATTTTACTTTAATTACATTTGCTATAGTAACTCAGGCATGGTTTTCTCATAATGTATCACAGTCTTTTGCTTTTGTTTCGTAGGTTACATAGAACCCGTTTCCTATATTGCTGTTAACTGTCCTCTGGGTTGGTGTGACTGGCAAAGGGAGCAGACTTAATTCAATGCATGCCATTCAGAGTCCAGTTTGGGTCCAGCATACCTCTTCCACAATTAGCTTTTTTTTCATCTAAATGTCCCTGGATGTGAGCCAAACTGTTGTCTTCTATTTTATTTTATTTACTTATTAAAATATATGTTATTGATTTTTTTTTATTTTCTTATTTATTTATTTATTTTTTTTACAGAGAGGAAGGGAGAGGGCTAGAGAGTTAGAAACATCAATGAGAGAGAAACATTAATCAGGTGCCTCTTGCACATCCCCTACTGGGGTTGTGCCCTCAACCAAGGTACATGCCCTTGACCTGAATCAAACTTGGGACCCTTTAGTCCACCAACTGACGCTCTATCAACTGAGCCAAAACAGTCAGGGCTCATCTCCTATTTTAAAGTGCTACAAAAATAAATTCATACTTTGGTGCTGAAAAGTAATTGTTAAGCAGTTGGTAAAAACATTGTCCCCAGATATATATATATATCGAGTTTATATAGGAAGTTGAATGATTCATGATTTGTTACCTAACATTTCTATGTCTGAATGTCTGAAATCAGTTTTAAGTAACACAGAAGACTCAGCACAAAATGAAGACAGGTCTATGTTGTGACTAGTAACACTGTGACAGATTCCCCCAAGGTCACAAGGACACCCTGACCTTCCCTGACAGGCTCTGTCGCTCCCATATTGGTCTCTAGGCTCCCAGTTGACAGTTCTATACCTGCAGAAAGAATGGACTTGAGCTAGTGCTGTCTTCAAGGTAGAGCTACCTTGAAAGAATGTCAAGTTCCTCAGAAGTTTCAAAACTGAGAAGTCACTGTTTGTGTCAACTGATACCAAATTTTCAAAAATATACTGTTTTAGCTCCGTATATGCACAAGGCCTTGCATAGAATCCCTGGTTTAAAAGAACAGGACCTTAGAACTATAGTGATTTCAGAGATATTTCTCAGAATAGGCAATTCCAAGTTTATAAACTTGGGATGTAGGGCTCAGAATAAATGTTATGATAGATTTATCCGCCATGGTATAGATTAGAAAGGCTTTTATGGGCTGGACTGGAAATTTCTCCCCCATGCAAACCATTTCTCTTAGAGGTGGTGTCTGATGCTCAGGGAGTGAGAACAGAGTACTCGTCTCCTCTTGAGTTAAGGGAGGAAGTACCCCCTGGACTTGGCAGAAGGCAGCACAGTGGCTCAGGAAGCAGCCCCACTCCTGGAGGCAGGGAGGGAATCCTGGGCAGGTCTGCCCCCCGCGCCCCCTCCGGAGGCCACATACTTTGTCTTGTCGCTTGTTTTATCAGAGGAATGTTTATCATTCCAAGACACTGAAACGTTTGCAGTACAACAGAAACCAGGGTTACACTAATTTCTGTTTAGCTTCCTCTCCAGTCCCAGCAGCCCCCATCCTACAGCTGGAGGAGTGCTGCACCCACAACAACAGCGCTACGCTGTCCTGGAAGCAGCCGCCTCTGTCCACAGTGCCCGCCGAGGGATACATCCTGGAGCTGGATGACGGCAGTGGTGGTCAGTTCCGGGTAAGCAGAGAGCCTGTTCCTGGTTAACCAAAACCGGTGACTTCCTCAGTGCCCCGCCGTGCAGGCTCAGGCCCACTCTCCTCTCCCGGGGACATGCTGTCTGGCAGGGTCTGTCTGCCCTCAACTGAGGCCTGCTTTCTCCTAGTACCATATAAGAGATGAAGAAAGGAGTATCTGAATAGAAATGGTCCTGCCCTCCTCCTCCTCCTCCTCCCCCTCCTCTCTCTCCTCCTCCTTCACCTCCTCTTCCTCCTCCCCTTCCTCCCCCTTCTTCTTCTTTTTCTTCTTCTTCTTTTATTAATTTCAGAGAAGAAGGAAGAGGGAGGGACAAAGGGAGGGTGAAAAAAGAGAGAGACATCAGTGATGAGAGAGAATCATTGATTGGCTGCCTCCTGCACGCCCTTGACTGGGGATCGAGCCTGCACAACAGGCATGTGCCCTGACCGGGAATCGAACCATGACCTCCTGATTGATCAGTCAATGCTCAACCGCTGAGCCACGGCAGCTGGACATGGTCCTGCTCTTTTTAAGAGGAAGTTCATGCAGTGCTGTGAGCTCTGGAAGCTGAATGCCTGCATTCAAGTCCAAACTCCACACGAGCTGGTGGCTGCCCATTCCTCGCCTGGTTGAGCCTTCATGTCCTCAGTTGTAAAATGGGGACGATAATAATAACATGTAACCCCTGCCTTCTTAAGAGTCATTTAGATCATCCATATAAAGTCCTTAGCACGCTGCCATCCCAGACTCCAATCTTCTTAGAGTCCCACCAGAGAGTTGACGTTTTAAGGCTGTGCTTTGAACGTGAATTATTTTTACTCATTACATCAGCATAATGTTGCAATGTGTGCAGCTAAAGAGGGAGGTAGACGCCTAACCTATGCTAACCATGCATAATGCTAGGGTTTATTTTAAGCCTTTGAAATGTCATTCTCTCTCCCTTCCCTGTTTCCTCCCCCTTCATTCTGTACCGTGAAAACCTTTACGCCTATGGCTTTCAGTGGGTGGTCCTTGCCACAGTCCTGAAGTCATTATTGGAGTTATAAACACAGTGTGGAGACCACCCTCACGTCTTCAGATCTGTGTTTTACAAATCACACTGATGGTAGATAAAGAGCTCATAGGTATAAAACACTGTGTAAATGCTGTGCTAATCATCACAAGCATAATGCTATCTATGACACACAATTTTAATTTTTTTAAGCCCTCGGTGCTAATGAGTCCCATCCTTTAAGCTGCCGTGCAAACTACAAGGCACCATGCTCGTCAGTTGGCCTATGTGACCGTATGCCATCCTCACACGAACCCTCATAAGCTGAGTATTCCTATAACCATTTTCCAGATGAGGAAACTGAGGCTCAAAGAGGTCAATTAGATGGCCCGAGAGCTCCCAGGAGTCAAATCCGGGTCTGAGGCCAAAGCATTTTTCCCCCTAAGCACTGGGAACACCACCCCCTGACGCGCCTCCCAAGGGTTCCCGTTAGTTAAATGGCGTCCCGTTATCTGTCGGCCCTCAGGAGGTGTATGTTGGGAAGGAGACCATGTGCACCGTGGATGGCCTCCACTTCAACAGCACGTACAACGCGCGCGTCAAGGCCTTCAACAAGACGGGCGTCAGCCAGTACAGCAAGACCCTGGTCCTGCAAACGTCCGAGGGTAAGGCCCTTCAGCAGTGTCCGTCCGAGCGAGAGCTACGAGGCATCTAAGCCACAGAGCCCCGCGGGGTGGCCGTGACTCGCTCTGCACCCTGGCCCAGGCCCATGGTGTGTGGATGTGTCAAACCAAAGAGGCCACAGCAGCAGTTCAGATGGCTTGGGCCGGCGGCTCCCTTTGATAACGCTCTAAGTAAGCCGCCGTTGAAGAAGCTGGAACTCCAAGGCCTGACTGTCCCCCCAGCATATGAGGCCCTAAGTCTGTGAGGGATGCTATAATATCTAGGCTCTAGGGCAGGCTCCCATGCTCCGCCATCCACATCCTGGGCCGCTGTCGCCCAGATGCTTCTGAATGGCCTGTTAGTGCTTGCTGGTTCCCGAGGGTGGGCCGAGGCTCTTCCCAGCTGCGGAGGTGTCTGACCCACCGTGGTTCCCAGGGGTGGGGTGCTGGAGCGGTTCAGAGAGGGCGGCCGGCCACTCTGGCTCACCCGGCATGGACTGCTTCCATTTCGCACTCGAGCCCAGGCCGGCAGCACCAGGACTGAGGCTGCCCATGGGCGCCAGACAGGACGGGACCAGCAATTCCGCGTTACCTTGCCATTTCGTCTTTGCCAGTCCTTCTAGGTGTGGTCAGGCCACCGTAGAAAGTCAGTTTCTAGGTATTTTGGTCTGTGAATAGTTGGGTCATCAAAGGGAAGCCATCCAGCTCAGATGGCCAGGCATCATCTCTGAGGCTTTTAACATTTTCATTTTAAAAAGCAATTGCAACACATGAACTCCAGCCTATGAAGAGGTGTTTGTGATTTTAATCATACCTTTGGGTGTGGTTTTAATCATGGAAGACCCCCACACCACTGGCATTCTGCCTAACTTCCCTCTGCAGAACTAAGCATGTTGATTTGAGTCAAATTCAAGATGTTAGCTAAAAGAACTATGGTAGTGTGTTTTCCAGCCCCCCCACACACACACACACACACATACACACACATACACTTTCCACAAATCTCAGCCCATGCCAGTCACCCCTAAAATGGTTCACATGGTTAAAAACAAGCACAACTTCAAATTCCACAGCACGGTTGGTAGGCCCCTGGCCATGAAAACCATGGGTGGGGCGTAGTCGTGAGTCTGTGAGGGATGCTATTCAGAGAGAAGGATTTCTTCAAGGGAAGATGCCCACGTGGTCTATTTCCGTTTGGATGACAGGGATGTGGCAGCTAGAGTCTCCCTGAGATGATCATTTTGGCATCCTCTCTCCGGGATGACCTATCAGCCTGAGAGCAGCTGCCTCTTTCCCCACGGTCCCATGGTCACTGCCAGTGCCCTCCGAGAGTTCCTCTTAGACGCAATGCAGCAGGCCCTGCAGGGTGGCGGCCTGGTTTCCATGTGTACAGGATGTGTGACTGAAGAGCAAGGTGCATGCCGTGGGAGCAGGGAGACCATTTGCTACTCATGTTACTAACCCATGTCTCAGACTTACTGGGACACTGCTTCTACTCCTAATACATCGTGGAAATCATACTCTTCCGCTAAAATCTGTTATTATTAGCTTAGCAGCTTGAGCACTCACGTCTCTCTTTTCATCCTGCAGGAGGAGGTAGTTTGTAGCTTTCACTTAATGTCCGTAAGGTTGTGGTGTCTAATAAATTACACAGTCGGAACTGCGATCCTTGGTACCACAGTCACAGAACTGGGGGTCATTTTCTAAAAGAAACTAACGGAACAAGTCCTCTTCCAACAAAGAGACTGTGCTGTAGACATAATTTCCTCCATGAATTTTATATATTGTATACAAATATAAGGTATGTATCTAACTACAAAGACAACCTTAGCGTCGCGTAGATAACCAGTATCCTCTGTTACCACACAGAAGTGATTTTCTCATGATGAAATAAAGTTCACACACATATGCCTTCTCCATAACTTTGGTTTGTTCTCTTTGTTTCTCCCTCCATTCAAACAGCGAGGCAAGATTTAGAAAGCAAGAAAAAATATAATGAATAGTTTTTTTTAATTTAATTAATCTGTAACAATACAGAAAGCCTATAGAATTAAAAATTATATCTTCTTTGTTTGTTTTTTTAGAAATCAGTGAGAAAGATGCCATTAATGGAGTGTTGATATATTAACTGAACTTGTGCTTTACTAATATTATTTCCTATAATTCCTGGAAAAGTTTGCTTCAGAGATTTTTTTTTTCTTTGCTGCTATTGGGGGTGAAGGGGTGGTTGGTTTTGGCTTTCTAATATAATAAAAATCTTTTGCATTCTTCTTAGCAACAGTTAACCCCTTTCCAAAGTTCAAATCAAAAAAGTCTGTGTCACAGAATAGAATTCCTAGGTGCTTGCAAGTCAAACTTGTATGTACATGCATTCGTCTGAGGTTTAAGTCACTTCACTTATATCCTTTGAATGATCAGAAAAGTTTCTGCTGATCTAAAGGTAACATTAGGGAAGATCAGATGCCCACACTGTTATGAATTCTCATAATTTTTTTCAAAATCAGATGTGTTTATTTATCTATTTGTTGGGCAGTGTTTGATAACTACCCACCGTGTAGTAGGCTGTGGGTATAGAGTATCAGCAGACCTCTCCCTGTTGCCTAGGAAGAGAGACAGGCCTTAAAGAAATAGATACACAAATAGTTGCATATTTGCAAGTTATGATAAACAGTGTGAAAGAGGAGAAAGGGAAAACATAACTTGTATAGGGAAGGTCAGAAAAGCAATGAAAAATAATTTAATTTGATAGAAATAATAAAGAATGTGTTATTAAAAGAGCAGAGAAAAGGCAAATATATGTTTGGGTAGTTCCCTACAAACAAAGTTCTTGGGGATGTACCTAAAACAGCCATACAAATAAGGTCAGTTGTATTCCAAACCAAATTACCCTGATTTAAGAAGAAATTGAACTGCAAGCAACTAAGAATGTCAACAATATTTTAAAATACAGCCTACAACCCTGGTGATATATATACATATATGACATTGTGTAACAATGTCTTCTTAATACATAGAGTTCTGGACTCAGTCTGGGAGACTACTCCTAAAATAAACATGAAGAAGAAGAAAGGGAAATTTTGTGTTTACTTTTTTCTCTTTCTCCTCTGCCTATCGAAGTAGTCTATACTTTTTTCTATTTCATAAATCTGGAGAGAAAATGAAATAGACCAAAGGCAGTATTCCTAGGGTCACATCCTTTATGCAGACTGTTTGTTAATTGGCTGAAAAGAGAAGCTCCCTCTGCCAGCCTCAGATCTCAGCGCCAGGGAGCTGCTCCCCACAGCCTTTCCGCAGAGGTGGTGCTGTGCTCACCACACCTACAGGATTAGAACAGGAAGGGTTGCACGCTATATAATAAATATTTTAACACAACTCTTTGTGTGAAACGGTTATTTTCTTTGGACAACTTCCTAGAAGTGGCATTATGACCAAGGACTTTTAAGGCCCTTGATCTGTGTTTCCAAATTGCCTTTCAAATAGATTTTATACTAGCCATGTATGAACTATTTCTTTTTACACTAATTCTACTACTTAGAGTTTCATTTTGACTTACAAGCAGCCTCTTCTAAAGTAAAAATTTTTCTAAAAGAGGGTTTATTTGTTTTTGTTTTGTTTTGTGTGTGTGTGTTTTGTTTTGTTTTGTTTTGTTTTGGAAGGTTTTACAAGTGGGTTATATTTCTTTATGATTTTTTTATCTGATTAGCTCTTTTATTTGAATTTTTCAATTTTATTTTCCAAATACAATTTACATTCAATATAATTTTGAATTAGATTCAGGTGTACAGCATAGGGTTAGACAATCATATCCTTGGCAAAGTGAGCACCCCAATAATATTTACCCACCTGGCACCATACAGAGTTATTACAATATTATTGGCTGTATTCCCTATGCTGTACTTTTGTAACTACCAATTTGTACTTCTTAATTCCTTCACATTTTTCACCTAGTTCCCTCCTCCTTTCTAGTAATCATCAGTCTGTTCTCTGTATCTATGAGTCTGTTTCTTTCTTTCTTTGTTTTGTTTTTTAAATTCAACAGATAAGTGTAATCATATGATATTTGGTCTTCCTCTGACTTATTTCAGCTAGCACTAAAAGAAGGTTTTTCAAATGTATATTTTCATGGGAATAATATTCTGGCTGTTTTACATCTTAGAACCACATGAAATACATTACAACATATTGCAGGGAAATGCACATGATCTAGAGGGAAGAGAAGACTTCCCAGAGAAGAGAGAGGGAGAGAGAAATCCAAAGGGAATAACTGTGTGTAAGCCTAAAACTTCAAAATCTGCATTAAGGCGACTGTGAAAAGAACTTCATTCATTCAAAAGCAGTAACTGAGCACCTCGATGCTGTCTGACACTGGGCTGGGACCCAGGACCACAGAGATGCATAAGGCATGCTCCCGCTCTAGTACGTATGGGTTTTACTCCTCCTCCTTCCTGAACCGCATGGCACCTGACTCAGAGCATCTAAAAACCATGGCACCACCTGACTTCTCTAAAGCTAAGCTGTCTACCCTGCAATCAGGATGGTCATCTTACAACCAAGAAGTAAGCCACTATGATCTCTGATTGGGAGGAAAAAAGGTTCAGGCATAGAAGCGCCTGTGCTATTCTCACAGCAGAGCCCTGGGTCCCACTCGGTTCTCACTTCCTCTTAGTCTACGCACAGTTCACCGACTGCCCTGACCCAGTTATGAAGAGCACTAGAAGCATCACATTAGAGGAGAGAAGAAGGACTTGGAAGAGGAGTGAGTTGAGGCTATTGGTAGCATCGAGCAGGAAAGATAACTAGAAAAACTGAATAGACAAAAAAAAAAAAATTTTAAAAGAACATTCTATGACATATGTTCTGGGTGAGGAGTTACATAATGCATTTTAGAAATATTTCCACTAACACATTTAAAAGTTAATGTATTATCTGGAATCTTTGGTAATGAAGTATTAGATATACCTCAGAAGGCTCTGGTATGGAATTATAATATAAATAAGCCCTCC